GCATTTGCTAAAGCTCAAACAATAAATGCACCCAATTTGGCAATCGAGTCGATAAAAAAAAAAAAAAAAAGAGGGAACGAAAATCTGAAAAACGGCTAATCTGCTGAACAGATAATACCTCCTCTGCTGCCCCCCCCCCTTCTGAAAGACGCTGGGGGATGAAAAATCCAGCCGCAGTTTGTTGTCGTTTTTATGTGTTTTCTCTCCTCTTGTTTGTATTCCGGGGCAGCCGCCTGGCTCCGAGTGAGGTATACAGAGTCATTGCTCTTTTGGCTCCAGCCCTGACACCTCGTGCCCTCAAGTGTGGACTCCTTAGCCGCGATCTGATCAGCATCTTTATAGTTTATCAGCCTTGGGGTTCAATTTTGGCTTGGATGCTTTTACAAATGAACGCAATCACTGGTGAGCCTTCGCATCCTGATTGCATTGAGAGAAGCGGGTGGAGGAAAGTTTAGTGGATTACCGTGCCACTTGAGGATGGAGCACAAACACACCGCGGCAGCCACAGAGGGGGGGCCGCCTGTGCCCCCCCCCCCCCCCACTCCCCTGCCTGGGCTATTGGCACTCGCTGCTTGTACTCTGTCTTATTTCACTAAAATAATATAATTGTCTCCCGTCTTATTGCTTGTAAAGCCATCTTCTGTCTGCAGGCGATGTGTGTGATCAATGCACTATCTAACAGAATCAATTCTTCCAGGAATACCTTGTGTTTGTGAAAAGATTCCAGGCAGATGCAGCAAGAGACGGGGCTTGAAGTCGGATCCTGTGGTACTAGGATTAGTTTAGCGACTTGGACCCTCCAGTTCACACTGAATACCGTGGGCTCTTCGCCCATTTCTCATGTTGTTCACTGTATGGTGTTTGTGTGTGTGTGTGTGTGTGTGTGTGCAAAATAGGCTTCCCAGGGAATTCACATTCATATTGCCAGTAATGGGCATCATCCCTCGAACATCTTCTAAGCAGTTTATCCCACTTGTAACTGCTGCAGTATTTGGTCCCCTTGAGATGTTTTCAACTGTGCTGGAAAATGGTAATACATGTCATGTCCCCTGTATGGCAATAAAAAAAAACACGATTTCCTGAATTTTACCGGAGAAAAGGAATTTGTTCTCAACACATGTTTTATTTCATCAATCAACAGTGTCATCGCTGTGACTACTGGACATTGTAGCATGGAAAATGAATTTGAAAAGAAGACTGTATACAACCAGGAAAAAGGTAAATAATAACATCTTTATATTCCACACAACTGCAACTTCCCTCCAACCAAAACACCTTGACTCACGGCTGCGATGGCGGCGCCGATCACGTCACACTACGGTGAATGTATTAACGTCCCACTGCCAGTCCTGACTGCCTGTTCCCAGTGTGCACTGCTCCTCTAATTCTACGACTAAACAATGATATCAAAAGTGAATTATGTGAGACCTCTGGGGTGAATCGAGCGGAGTAATATGCCAAAAAACTATTACAGGGGGAAACTATGGGAATAGACCCCTCTGGAGGAGAAAAAAAAAAAAAGAGAGAGAGAAGAGAGAATTGAGGAGCGGGATCAAGCCAAAGGGAACCATTTTGGCAGGTCAGGTTGTAATTGATTGTCAATGGAAATCTCTGTGGCAGGTTTGTCTCATCACATCTTTTCATGTTTTTGCAGATTTCTTTCTGACGTAGAAGTGAGAGAGCATACCGTAAAAGACCTGAGAAAAGAGCAGGATTGGTTTTGAGCATGTTTCTTTTGTAATATGGTGTAAACTACTGGCTTGGAGAGCCTTTAGCAAAAGCAGCATCTGGCTTAATAAGCATGCAGAAGTTCCCAGGAAGTGCCATGGCATATTGAGTTACTTCTACGCGCTGGAAGAAGAAAAAAAAAAAAAAAAGGAGACTTTATGCAAATTCAAGTATGCCGTGGCAATTGTCATTCAGTTGTTTAGTCCAGCGGTTTAATTCGATTTGAGGGAAAACAGCGATGCCAAATTGTGTCTTTTGATAACATCGCTGCAATGATTGAGTTATGCGTTATTGCCTTTGTGAGTCTGAGTTTGGTCTGTTGCTCTGCAGTTTCAGGATTTACCTGAGAGCAGCTCAAGCAGCAGGTCCAAAATCCTTTCATTTCCTTTGTAAACCACATGTCATGCTCTATATTAGGTGGATAAAGGACGTATGTGCCTTCATGTCTGCGCACCTTAGATCTGGCTGGAGATTTCACCCTCCCTCTTTTTCCTCCCCCTTCCTCCGCTCTGTTTACTTTCCGACGGTCTCATCTTCACGTGTCTTCTTGTGTTGTTTTTTTCCCCTTTACCCCTCTATTGCTTCCCTCTCTCCCTCCGTGTCTCCGTCCATCCCGCCAGGCTCTGCAGCGCCGGCCTCGGCCCATTCTTTGGGTAGCACAGGAAGTGAAACTGTAACACAGAGTTCACTGGTAATTGGCCACGGTCACGCTAACCAAACAGGAAGGAATCTGCAACTGATTAGAATTCTTCCTCCTGCAATAATAGTCCTCCCCTAACCCCCCCCCCTCCACCCCCACGAAATTAATTACATTCGGGGGTCTATTCCCACTATTGGTTTTCCTGTTTTGAAGCTGCATTATAGAGGGACAAATCCCAAGACAACACAGCCTAGCTGGTTTTTCAATTACAGACAGACGGGCCGAGGAAGCACAGGCAGGCATCCATCTATCCATCTCTTCATCCGGACGGAGAGCTACTGGCTGGTCAGATGAGTCCGCAAGTCACAGACTGCTGAATAATCTCTTCATGACTCTCTCTCTCTCTCACACACACACACACACACACACACACACACACACACACACACACACAGATGTAAATACACGCAGACATAAACGGACCGCACTATCTCTGTAAAATGCTGTTCAGAATAACCTTTCCAAACAAACATACCCTAATTGTTAAGACTAACTATACTTAGTCTTAAAATCATCTTCCAAATGTAAGATACACAGTATTTGATAGGATTTAATAATAATATTGTCTCCACCATTCAGGCCTGTTGCTTCCAGGGCTCTTAGATTTGAGGAATTTATTCCAACAAAACCCCGAAGATCAAGAAGACTTTAAATAATCTAAGAAAATTATAAACATCACTGTTGGCGTTTTCACATTCTGGGTTTACTCTAAAAAGAAGAATCTGGGATCAATCACCCCCCCCCCCCCTTTTGAGACATTTAAACCAGCATTTCCTTTGTAGCTGTATTTGTATCATTTAGTATCTTAAATATCATTTTTACTGCTATTCTAAGATCTGTAAACAAAGAAGAACAAAGACACTTGTGCTTTGAATGAAAAAAAGTTTTGCAGATTTTATTTGCCTTTTAAAGACCAAAGTCCAACATGTACATTTGAAAATGTATGTGGTACCAAAACAGTATGAATTGTATGTTAAACCACGACTGCGCGGTGCCAGCTGGCATCGATACCACAGGAAACCAGGGGTTCCACCATTTTACGGTCGGCTGCTGCAGAAATGTTCAAAAACAATCGGCTTGTGGGAACGCTGCCCACCTGAAATTGTTTTGATGTCGCATTTTGAACAAGTGTGTTGCTTGATGTGACATATTCATTCCACAAACGAGGTTAAGCACACAAGAACAGCGGGACGCCGAAAGGTGCGCAGGCAACGTTTAAATGCTGTCGTGTTCCGCACCTTTCAAAATAAAATGAATATGAAAAATCATGGAGATGCATTTTCATCTCATCTTCACAGAGAGACACGGAGAGCCAGGGCTGCTTCAAAAATAAATGAATGCCTAACAATGTTTTTGATGTCCTATATTTAAATTTGTACGGTTACTTACATTACTCCTACTTCCCTGGTCTTGGAACTAATCCGATTGATATGGAAATGGGGTGCTCTGTTTCATGACAGAGTTGGGGAGAGGGAGAGAGGGAGAGAGAGAGAGAGAGAGAGAGAGAGAGAGAATTCCCAGGTTCGCTCCTACTCAAAATGTGCTGAAAACAGATTTTCAGAATCCTTTGGCTTCATGGTATTGGTTATAGGGGATTACACGAAGCACTTAAAGCTCGACAATGAGCTGCTCTTTTCTACCGGGGGGGGGAAAAAAAAAAGGTCCTTCATGCTGGACACATTCTCCACACTCGAGAGGTTAATCAGGAACAAATTAAGCCAATATTGTGATTGTGTCGGGCGCCTTTGACACACATAAGATTATATATGACAGTGAAATTTCAGATTTTTTTTTTTGTAGATTTATGGCAGAGGTTGCTTTTTTCCAGGTCTTGACAGAAAGTGAGTTATCATGAGGCATAGATTGTAATAAAAGAAATATACAAAACTCATGTAATATGTGGCAGTCACAATCATTATACATGCAAAACCTTCATTTATTAAATGAAATGTTACAACATGACAGGTAAATGTTGATTATTTTCTGCATTAAATACAGCCATATATCTAAACTAGTATGTTGTCCGGTTTGCATCAGTCAGAGCTGTGCAGACTCAACTCTTCTTTTTCAAACTTCAAACTTTTTTTAAATAATAAAATTAGATTTAGAATTAGCAATTTCGTTTTTTTAGGAAACATTAAAGTCTACATGTTGTTACAAATCTTACTTATATTATATTTAGGGTATACGTTTTTTTTTTTTATAAAGAATGTAAACATTTTTAAATCAGTAAAAAAATAACTCAATAATGTTTTTTTAATTTGTTTTGGGGGTGAAATCAACATAGCTTCTGTATCAAACACATACAGGTTGAAGGACATAATTATCTTGATAAAACTAACTGAGGTAAAAAAAAAAACAGTTTGTCATTACTGTCAAACTAACAGCAGTCTACAGCAGTGTTTCCTGAAGCTCAATAACATAAATCACACATGTGGCGTGCTCATATATGCAACAGCACGTTGAAACCAGTGTCCCCGAGCTTCCTGCTCGCTACCCGGGCAAATCCTTATCTGCCGCAAACTCTTCTTTTTTTTTTTAATCTTAAACAGCATTTAAAATCATCACTTACCAATTCCCTTCTTTAGCTGAACAGCCATTCAAGCGTGTGTTGTCTGTCATTGGGGTTGAAAATTGGGGAATGGGCTGGAAATTGGAACCACCGAGAATGCCGTCCTGGAAAAAGAGGAAATCAAAGTTAAATGAGATCATGCATGCCAAGAGAATGTTTAACCAAAGGGCAAAAAGGAAGCTGGAGATAACAGAGAAGAGAAAACCACTTAATGTTGTGTTACTGCAGTCTGTTTGGAATCGTGCATGCTTGTGTGTGTGTGTGTGTGTGTGTGTGTGTGTGTGTGTGTGTGTGAGAGAGAGGGGGTGTTACTCGTCAGTACACATTTAAACTGTCATCTTATGCATCTGTAAATGCACACGTTTGCGACTGCATCTGTAAATGTACATACTTCAAGTAAATAAATCACAGTGTTTATGTATTTGAGGATTTATGGATTCAAGAACGCATGTGTGTGTGTGTGTATGCATCCGAGCGTGTGTTTTTATAGCAACACGGGAATGTGAACGTACAGCGCGTTGTGTGTGTGTGTGTGTGTGTGCGCAGGTGTGTGTGCAGGTGACGACGGGCCTCGCAAAGGCTCGTCCCATAATGCAGTGTGTCTCAAAGGTGTTTGAAGTGGTGCACCGCGAACAATTAATAGTGAGCCTGTGATTGCGCTGAGCCCCAGTGATGCAGATTTCTTATGACAAGTTCACTTCAAAAGACCGAAATCCTGCCCCACCCAGAGCGCATATGGTTAGATGACAGGTTAGATGCTTTGTTTTAACATGAGAGGACATCAGGGCGTAGAGAGCACGGGGGGAGGGGGGGGCATTCCTAACCTCTGTCTGGGGGGCATCATTTTTATAAATTAATATTTACCCTCCTAAAACATAAACAGGATTAAAAAGGAATGTGTGATGAAAAAAAAAATGAAGAAATACTTGAATATCTGTCATTAAAAAATGAAATTGGTTCAATGAAATCTGTGATGATCTGACGTTTGATTAAAATGATGTTCATCAAGAGAAATAATCCATCTAACATTGGCTTCTCAGCTGCCATCTAACATTTGCGTTTGTTTTGCGCGGCTTCTTCTCTGATGAAAATCACTGCGCGAGTTGTCCATGACAGACGGGCCGGGACGGAGCATGTCTGGATTATGTTTATTTAATTTATCTGACCATTTATCCTCCCAGGTATTGTTGCCAGTGTGCGCTCTGTGTGCGTGAGCTGATGAAGCAGAGTGATCATGAGAGAGAGATGACAGGAGCAACGTTTCCAGCTCATGAGCAGAGGTGAGAGTGCGCTGAGAGGGAAAGATGCAGCCAGTCTGCACATGTCAAGGTCAGAAGTCCTTCCAAGGAATGAAGGGAGAGGTAGAGACAGATAGAGATCTCGTTCTCATGCGGCTCTGATGTGCTTCACTACAAAAGATCTGAGTCACAAAACCACCCCCCAGCCAATTAAAGCATTTTACACTACATACATTTACACCTAAATACTGCATTTGTTGATTGATATTGTCCATAACTTTCATTTAATGTGGCGTTGCTTTCCCACTGTGGTGTCTCTTGCAAAGAGGTTTTTATAAACGCAGAGGACCCACCTAGTCTTAAAAAAAAAAAAAAAAAAAAAAAAAAAAAAAGAAGTTGTCAATTTCACACAGTGTGATGTCATGTGCACAGAATACCTGTGGGTGGGTGCCATCTATTCACTGAATCATTTGGCGCTGCTGCGCTTTATTTCTTAATTCTCATTGCCATGAAACACTTCAGAAAGAATATCAACCCAGAAGCGATATTTTCTGCAAGCAAAAACTAGTTCAAAGACATTTTTTTCTCTGCCCCCAATCCTCAACTTACTGTCCTGGCATCTCGTCAATTTTCAATTTGCAATGACTTTTACAAGATTTTTTTTTCCTGACTTTGTAGCAACACTGAAGGCCCCTCCCACGGGCCAGTGGGTCACATAATTATTATGTGCAGGAAATGATAAGCATGTTTTAAAAGTGAAACTTAGGTTTAATTGTGGTTTACGGTTGCAATGAACGTTGTGTGAAATCACAAAAGTCAAATTCATGAGACTTTTGGATTATTTAAAGAATTTGGGCTGGATAATTTGTTATGACTCCTGTTGTTTCAACATTATGGGATGGTTGAGGTGTATATTCTGGACATATGACTGGCTTAACATTTTTTTTAAGGTACATTCATAAAGTCTATCTTTGTACACTATAACAGGTGTCAAAGTGAGTGAAAATGAGAAGCACATTCTCAAAATATGGCTGTTATTTTATTCTAATTTGGAGGTTATTTCTAGTGATAGGCGTGAACTTGGTGCAAACTGGCACACAGAAACTCCACGTGCTCAATGCATCGCTGACACTTAAAGAGAAAAAGGTTTCACCTCGACTTGTACATCAGCGCAAATCAGAAAAACCAGGCTGAAGACGGGAAATGGGAACGAGCGTGCGAGGTGTCCTTGGAGTAACCAAAACAACTGCGAGTCCAATTTCCTCCTTTGTCACTTTTTGTAGCTTTACACTCAACTGGAGAGCGAGCTGAGAAAAGAACGTGTTGTCGGTCCGACTAAAACACTGGCAGCTCTCCTGCCCGTGTGTAAAGCTGACATCCAGTTTCCTGAGTGAAGTCATTTCCTCAGTAGACGGTTTGCACAAACACAGGACTAATATCCGAGGAGGGGGGGGGGGGGGGGGGGACAGGGCTGCTTGTCTTGAAGAAAAGGGCTGATGGCAAACATTCACCTTTAAATTTAATTTTGCCCTTTTCGTCGACGGGCACAGATAAAGACATTCACTAGTCACGGTTAACTGGGAAAATATTATGATGAATGGACTTTTATTAGTATTTTCCCCCCCATTATTCATGACAATAACAACACAATGTCCTCTGACGGTAATGGTGCATGTGTGTGGATGCATCACTGGCAAAGGCAAGGGTACTTATTATGGAAACAGTGCTGTGATGAATGTGCCGGAGCAACTCAAACTTAATCTAAACTGCATTACATGTTGTTTTGAATATACCTCCCTGATATGCCCATCTTTAATGTACTATCAAGTGCAGGGAGCAGAATTGCTTTAGTCTCCAAATTCAGAGCGGCAGAGGGAGAAAGAGAGGCTTTAAAATACTGTCTGTGAGAAATGCAAAATTTATGAATACCCCCCTCACATCTCAGCTTGATTTATGTGAAATAATAATACACTATTTAATGCTTAAACATAGCTAGGAGCGATCCCTGGCTATCAAGATGTACAATGGAGTAATGGGGCTGGAAGACAAATCACCTTGTGGACTTGTGATGCTTATTTAAAGGTGCTCAGGCAGATATATTAAACTATATGTAATTGTACACTAACTCTGTGCTGTAGGCAGAGGCGGCAAACACAGGAGGAGGCCAGTCGTGATGCAGATGGAGTGGTGTAATCAATTTGACTCAAAGCATCAAGATCCGCGGCGGAGAGGAGGGAGAGAGACCCGGGGAGGACTCTTCGATCTGCTCTCCTGCCACCTTATTTAGGCTTTAGCCTCCATTCAAACACGCATCTGTACTTTTAAACAGTGTGAAAAACTTGTATCATTTATGGGATTAAAAAAAAATAAAAAAATACTTTCTGCTTGAGAAAAGACAAAAAAAATCCCACTTTCATCTGGTTGAAAAGTTAATTCTCAAGCTCTATTTTTAGTGTGTCAGCTTTTAAAAAAAAAAAAAAAAAAAAAAAAAAAGGAGGACCAGGCTCAAACGGAGCCAGTGGTCACACGGATTGTGATTTATGATTCGCTGATTGCCTCATTTAATTAAAGTAAATGGCAAAGCCAAAGCAAGGCCAAATTGTCCTGATCTGATGAATTGACCGCCATTTTACCACCAAAAGCAGGTAGGGTAAATAAACAGGGTAATTACAAATGGTAAATGAAGCCTCTGCGAGTGAGCCCTGTGGGCTGTGGGCGGCTCACCCAGGATGTACTGAAGAAGTGAACAGGCGTTCCCGTAACTTTCTTCTATCATCCTCCCTCTGTCTCTAAAGCCCGGCCCATGCCAAGAAAAACACGCTCGCATGCACACAGACACCTACGAGGTGCACATGCTCTCACATATTCGGTGACACGCACAACCGCAGCTCCCCCACACACACACACATAGCCCCACCCCACCCCGGTGCGTTCGTGTACAATTATAGCGACGGTGATCCACAGGTGTTGAATTCTTCTGGCAAGCCATAAAACATGATATGCATGATTTGTGCAGTCAGCCAGGTCTGTAATTTCATTCTCCTTTTCTTTCATTTTCCCCTTCCTGGGCCACACGATCCATTTTCCTGCTTTATGAGAGCGCAGACACCCAGAGAGACTTTCAGGATGATTACATGCCCCATGCCATGGGGGGGTCTGAGGAGCCAACACGCCAGCCTAAGAGCCGTGTCAGACCCGGGTGAAAAACATCCATTTGAATAAAGGTTTGGAATATTTGAACCGCTCGAGGTGTGTGTCATTTATCCACCTACTCGCAGATCCTCAAGTGAAACAATCAACTGCTAATATTTGTTTTGTTTTTTATCCGCTCAAGCATCAATAAAAAAAAAAAAAGCATAAATTTGACCAGGTATGCAGCCTGCTGTCACACGCTGATTTAAGATCAGTGGTCCCTGTGAGCGTCTGGCAAAATGAATCGAGCGCACCTCACATGGCTGCTGTATTCGAGGCGATAGATACATATGCACACGGTGGGGCATGATGTCACAGCACGTGGGTCGGTCGGCTGGCAAGAGGACTGCCATGAACCTCCGGGGGGGGAAAGTGAACAAACTCTGTCTGCTACTTTCACAGCGCTGCCTGAACGTGATCAGGGTGAGAGGAAGGTCCTGAGCTGTGGTGCGCTCGCATGCACACACACACACACACACACACACAGGGTTATATTTTCCCACATGCACACCTACAGTGTAAACGCCAAAGGAGGGAAACTAAAAATTGAGTTTGTACATATTAAAACTGAGTCATTATAATAATCTGATCCGAGATTCACATAAACGTATTTCTTATATTACTTCATAGCCAGTTACCATGGCTTGCCATTATCATGAATATAATGTTAATAT